AACTCATGGCTTTAATGATTCAGTATTTCAGCAAATTATTATTCTTTTTTTGCTGTCGTTGAGAATGTGTGTATATGACAGGGGAGTGTGGGATCATCAGTCTAGTTGAGCAACTGAAAGAAAAAAAGAGATTTAAAGGGGGACATGGTGGCACAGTGGCCATGGAGCCATGGCTTCAGTTCTTGGGGTGCCACCTGTGGAGTTTGTATGTTCTCTTTCTGTTCATGTGGGTTTCCTCTGGGTGCTCCATTTTTCTCCCACAGTCCAAAGACATACTGGTAAGTTAGCTATCTTCTCGGAAAATTGGCCCTGGTGTGATTGTGTTTATTAGTGTTTGTGAGTACCCTTCAGATCCGGCCAGTGTTTCCTGTCTTATGCACATTGCTTGCCAGAAGAGGCTCCAACTCCCCTGCGACTCAGTATTGGATAAAGTGTTTGCAAAATGGACAGATGGAATAGAGATTTACAGTACAATTTAACCAACTGTACACAAGAGTTTTCACCTTAATATATTCTATGACTCATTTGTCATGCTTCTCACACGCATTTTAAATTATGCTCAGCATTATTTTTATAACTTTACATAGAAGCCATCTAATAAAAAGATACATCCATGCTGACCATATTCCAAAATTCCTCTGTGACAGCATTAAACAATTACTAATAGCAGACGGAAATATTAATATAATTAATCTTGAAGGGAGAAGGGGAATCACATAAATGAAAATCAAGCAAATTTACAAAGAATTTTATCCTGTTTGTGGTTACTGTATGGCAATGTTAAAAATAATTAATTGTGCCTTTTTTAAGAGCGGTTTTGTGTACTGTACTAGTTCAACTTGACAGCAGATTGTGGATTATATAGTCAATTCCTTTTTGATTTTACATCCAAACTCAACAAGAAAATAACAATCAGTACTTAATAGGTATGAGGAAGTGAATATCTTTGGCACGACCTCCTGAAGGTTTTCATCATGCAGCTGCTGTAGCTCAGAAACATTCTTGATGACCCAGCAAACTATACTATCCTTCTATATTTCATACAACTCTGAAACTGTGCAGATAAAAACGTTGCAAGTCCTGTCATGCCAAGCAAGTATCACTGAGCTCAGAAAGACCAGACAGCGATACTTGAACTTCAATTTTATGCACTGAAGATACTTTACAGTACATGACTATTCAAGGAGACGAATGCATTAAAGAATAATTCTACATCCCCAGCAGTTTTATAGACTGTTTCAAATGGTTTCCATGACTTTTTAAACTTGGGTATTTTATATCTTTATAAACTGAAAGCGTAGTTTTTGGTTATTTTGGTTATTTATGATACTATTTGGGGTGGTACAGTGCCACAGTGGTTACCACGGTTGACTAGCTAGTGCTGGAGCCTTGGTTCAGTTCTGGATCTGGAGAACTTTCTGCTTGAAGTTTTTTATGTTCTCTTTGTTCATGTGGAGTTCCTCTGGGTGCCCCAATTTCCTTCCACAGTCCAAAGAGATACTGGCAGATTAACAGACGTCAGGGAAAATTGGCTCTGGCGTGAGTGTGTGTCTGTGTTCATCTGTGTTTGTACTGTGATGGACTGGAGTTTTGTCCAGGGTGTATCCTGCCTTTCGGCTATTGCACGCTGAGACTGGCTCTGATTCCCCTGTGACCCTAAACTGGATAAAGTGGTTAGAAAATGGATGGATGGATGAATGATAATATTTACAAATCTACTTATAACTTTTACATGACTCTTGCAGCTAAAATGAAATTCTGCCCCTTTAACAACGTACGAACATAGCACATATTACATTTGGTTCTTATTTGAAATTGAGAGATGGGTGATTTGTTCCATGAACCGTGTTCTGGTCATTTCTGTTTTTTCTCAACAACCATCTCAAAATTTTTCTCAAAAGATCCTAGAGGTGTTGGGAAGACTACGGTTGTCTACAGTTTTATGTGTCTGTTAATGACAATTATGATGCAGCTCCTGGAACTCCTGGGACAGAGGTTGCTGAGAAGTTCTTCAAGCACACCAGACAATTAAAAAAACTGTTCAAAAAGCAGTTCAAAAAACAAATGAATTACTATATGTGATATCACTGAACGTGTCCTAATGCTGAAGCACTAGAGTCCCCAGGTTTTAATTATGTATGAATTCAAATTGCAGTAAAATCAGGAATTCAGGGGTCAGCATATGGCATTAAGAATATTAATAGATGTTACCTTTCTTTGCTGAATTATTTATAGAGCCATGAACAACAAAGTGCTTAATGAACAGGACAAGTGCAATAAACAGAATCAATGTTACTTCAATTTAAATAGTACTACAGAAAGAGGAGTCACAGACAATTATTGTGGCTATCAGTAAAGAGCTTTTACTGTGAAGAGTGCCATAAATTAAACAAACAGGACATCAACATGCTTTTAAAAGCAGGCTCAGAGGAAAGCTCATGCACAGACATGAGAAGGGCATTCCAGACAGAAGAAGCATGAGGGAGTGTCTCTGGGCCAAACGTGATCAGATGTTGAACTCGGGAGCAGGGAGCTCTGTTAAGGATGAATCATTTGACAGTGTAAGGAAAATCATTTCCTTCCATGTTGGAAATTTTTGTTAAAGAAATTTGAATAAAAAACAGGAAGTTTGTAACAATGCTTTGTTTATAAATGACCACTTACAAAAACTGGGTGCCTTTGAATTTGAAGGATTATGCCTTTCAAAACATCCTCTTCTGTCACAGATACAAAATAGTACACTGATATCTAAACCTCTGTAAAAAAGGTTAGGGAAAATTTGATTTTCATTTTAAAGTGATTAATATAAAGCACATTGCAGGGCGTTGTGATCAGGAAACCTATGAAGGCATTGCAGTGGGAATCAGAAAGTAGTCTTCTAACTACACAGTCAATATCAAGAACCAGTTAACCCACTAAAGTGCTACAGCTGCTTACCTCTTATTTCTTCATAAAAATCTAATTTTCTAATAACTAGACATCCCATAGAAAAATAGATAATACAGTACTTCTGCTTCCTTTCACTTTTATAATATGCATGACTTACTGTCCTTTTGCCCATATTGTGAGCCTGTGGGGAATCACAGACAAGCTCTATTTTCTAGGTAAGCACGAATGAAACAAGACTGACATTCTCTCCTCAATAGGATGAATGGTTTGTCAGCCAGTGACAAATGTTTCTGTGAGACAATAGCCTATTTGTTGCATTGTATCTGCAGGATTATAACACAAAATAAACAAAAGACTGCGCGAAAGACTGCAGTTAAAAGATATGGAGGCAAGGCAGCTACTGCATAGCAATCTGTCCATCATCAATTCCATACACCCCAGATTCTTATCTGTGTTGTTACCATCTACTGTACCTGACAGAGCTTCAGCTAGTCCATCTCCTTCTTTGGCAGATTAATTAAGGACCTCATGAACATCACTTCCAAAAATAAGAACTTATCTTCAGAGCCTGATGTGTTCTGCCTATCATCTGCCATTTTGTAAAGGACAAATTGATGCAGAAAGAGCACAAAGACAAGCCAATGTCATCACAAAGGTTAAAAATTCAAGTCAGAAAAAGTACTTAATGTCAGCCCTATATCTTTCATACACTTTGTGGATGAGGATACATTGTCAACTGCCTGTTGTTATAGTTCCAACTTCACTTTACTGGCACACAAATGTGTTTTCACAGCCAACAACTCACTGCAAATTTCAATCTTGGAACTGGAAGCACTTCTGACATGCCAATATTAGGAAAGGAAAATCCTCATGCTTAAACGTGTTAGCAAGTAGTATTGTTTTCCTTTTGCACTGAAGTTCACAATAGATTAAAATGCAGTCACTCTAACTCAACTCAAAAGCTGCAAAACTGTCAATACCACGTTTCACTTGAACCATCAAAAAAGAAAGAGGGAATCTGAACTCATTAGTACAGTCAAAAGCAGCACTGAAATTCTCCTAAGATTCTTTATTAGTACCTTATTTTTGTGGTTTAAAAATCAAACACAGAAAACATGTTCATCTTTCCATTACGCAGAAAATTTCAGGTTGTAACTTATTTCCTGTGGCTCTTAAACATAAAAGCAGTTTAAGCTTTATGAGAAGTTCAACTGATATATATTTTCATTATCATACAAATAAACATCATAAGTGTTGATGTACCAAACTTACAAGCAATCCTTTAGGTAAATAAAATTATTACAATTCAATGATGCAAATAGAAGAATCATGATTGTGCATTTTAAACCTCAAAACTAAAGTAGTAATCCTAAAGATAATTCTTGTTCTAATTTTGACTGTAGCAAAGTTTAATTGCTCACTTATTATTAAAAAGATAATGAGATTCACGTACCTTACAGTATGCCATACTGAAAGCATTACCTCAACTTCCTACCTTTTTCTCATATCCTCTGTGACTGCTTATTCATGCTCTGTGGTTCAACATTCAATGTTTCATAAATACAGTACATCTCAACAGTTATTTTAAGAAAGACTACAATATTGCTTACACTGCAAACTGGTCATCTGTTCAAACAAAATGAAATGATTTTCTAAACACTACTTAATGAAGAAAGGTCTAATCCACCACTGTCTTACAATCAGAACTTCATACTGTAAATAATAAAAAACTACTTTGAGCAAACTCAATAACTCAATAATAAATAACACAGATTCATTGGCAAAAGAAAACACTCAATATTCAGATAATGAAGCATTTCTATGTGTTTTAGTAAAACAGAAAAATCTTAATAAGAAAGTTTATCCCCTTTACCAAGCACTTAATACAGTACATCTTTAAAATGCATTAAAACACAGGAAGATTTATACAACTGCTTCTGAACATCTGCTCTAGGAAAAGGTCACATGAAACCAAAAACTATAGTAAACAAAGCTTATGATAGCTTATGATACTAAATAGCTTGCATAGATATTTTAAGGATGTCTATAGAAATGATGTCAAACACTTCACAAGAAAAAAGAACAAAAATTAAACCTGAAAAAAACTTTACCTGGCGCAGTACAGTTTTTAAACAGATGGTCTTTAAGCTGGTCCTCCTCAGTCTCATTGTTTTCAGTTTCCTGCATGAGTCTCCGACCACTCCACCTGTCGTAATTATCAGTAGTGTAGTTTATTATATCATAACCTGTAAGAAAAGGACAACAAAAACTTAATTAGAGGAGAGAGCAACACCATTAACTTAACAGTCCAGAGGTTCATACTTGAAAGAAAAATTTGCATGTTGTAGAGAATGGAATTCATGCTTTGGAATTGATTAAACCTGTAAACAATGTTTAATGGCTGAAACATGTGCCATCCGACACTTAATTACATAAGGCTGTATGAAAACCTAACAAAAATAGCGTTAGAAAAGTGTGAGATGATGGCAATGTGATGCAGCACTGAATGCTCAATGCCCTTCATTGCACTTTCTGCAATGGCTGATGTTCAAGTTTTTAGTTTGAGGCCCTGTGCATCAGATGTCATGTCAAAATGAAAGGTCAAATCTGCAACATTTCTTTCTTCAAAGAGGCATAATTACTGAGACTTCTGTCAACTTTCTGTAGATAAATGGTAACATGTGGCAATGTGATGATTTTATCATAAAGATTTTTTGCCAAGTCAGTATGACTGGTGGCAAAATGATAACTTTTTAGGCATAATGCCTAGCAGCATAGGTGTCTGAGAAAATATGCCAAAAAATCATTATCTAAAATTGTAATGTAATTAAATTAGTTACAGTCTTTAGTTTCAAATTCTAGAATGATCCCCCTCCTGCTTTCTCTTCTTTCTCGTATATTATACATACAGCAGTTACTTTCACAATAGTAATAGAAAACAAATCTAAAATGTCTTTTTTCTACATTTTCTAAATCTTTAGACAATAACGATGTATACCAGTAGCTTTTTTTCAATAATATCATTCAGACATTAAACAGACAAATTCAGTATGTACATCGGCCTATACATTGTGTGGATTAATAATGTATTCTGTGAATTTCTGTAGCCACTTTACAAATATCCAATTCATTGTTTTTCTTAATTCCATGTAAAAAGAAAGGTTTTTAATTCATGAAATGCATCTCACTAAGTACAGCTTCTATGTATATATCTATGAAGATGTGATGCTGGCTACATAAAACCGTATTCATTCATATTCATATTCAAATCTTATTTCTTCTTTTTTATGGAAACACGCACCCAGACAGCATTACATACATGTTGCTTTAAGATAAATATTACACAGCATAAACCGGGAGGCAACAAAACATTTCCTCCTCCCGTATTTGAGTCAGTTACTAGCAGGCAATAATCTATCTTTTGAAATATTTACACCATTTGCCTTGTTTAAAGCCAAATCTGCAGACAAAGATTATTTTCAATGCAGCTGAACTATAGTTATTCTTGCTGAATAGAAGGCATCCAAACCCGATCTTGTAAGTGTATTAAAATGTGTCATTTTAATGTAGGGGCTTCTTACTATGCACTTTTTAAATGTACAGACAGCTAAAAAACTGCATTACACGTAATGGTCCTGAGCAAAGGAATATGCGCTTACAGTACACAGTAAGATCAGTTTTTTATATTTCATCTATACAGTCTTTCCTATAGGAGTCTGATCTGCTTCTCAAGCACAAATCATGTATAATATTACACCACTTTCATTACTGAACACAAAGCTGAGTTTGATTGTGACTGTATGACATCTGTATCTGCGATGGACATCTTGTGAATTTCTGACACGTTTTATGGTGATAACATTACCTGTTCAATGAACTAGAATGAGCACTGGGAAATAAGTTACTATGGAGATGTGACGTAACAGTGAGCACTGGGGGTCCATGAGTCACTGAGTGAAAACACATGGTTAATACACACAATGGACTGAACATTATTTCTTCTTTTTTGACATTTGGTGTGGAGTTCAGTCAGATGCCTTTAAGAGACACATTGGCATCCATTCAAAATCTCAGTTAATGCAAGATATTTTTGTGCAGGGAGCACTTTGGATATGACAACACTTCAGTATTAGATTTTTTTTTATTTCGCTATACAAATTAGATTTGCTTTTGCAGTAAATATTTTTTTTCTTTTTCAAAAAGACTGACACTCCTCAGTTTTTTTCAAATGACAACTGAATCATTGTGCACTTACCACTGATTACACAGAATGATATTACATAAAAAAAATATTTTTGTAATATCGTTTGCTTTTAAATAGAAATGGCAGTCTTGGAAAACAATGGGTTTGACTATTTCCTCATTGAACTAAAATGTGATATTTAAAAAGTGGTGTCAGAATTTACTGTTGACAATCATTAACATATATAGGTATAGGTACATTTTTAAAATGTTCCACATAATGTTTATGTAGTATATATATCTTCTGAGATTCAGAAAAACTAAAATTAAAGCCATGAGTCTTGTCAACATCCATCTATATGACCTGCCACACACTCAAATGAAAAAACTCAAATCAGGAAAAAACAATAAGAAACAAAGAATACAAAATTGTACACTGCATTATAAAACAATACATATGAATTACTTTAATCAGTGAAATTAATTTTATATTACTCTTAAGCTTGCCAAAAACATTTTTTCACGATGAAAGAGTTACAGTAACTACCTTCAGCTGCTTAAATGCTTTTAAGAAGGACTGTAGCTGTGAACAGATAACAGCACAGAGCATTTTTTAAAATAGGTCCAGACTAACACAAAATGGTATTGACATGAATCTTACTCAAATAGAGTTTCTTTCTTTTCATTCAGTATTAGCCTAGTTTAGTATGAAAGGTACTTAAGGATAAGTCTGACCACAGTGATGGAAATATGGAAAATGGTTGTTATGGCGATACATTCCCCACATGCCAACTACCACTCCTGGAAAGCTGATCGGTTGCTATTTCTGAAAATGATTATTTTATTTAGTCTGAAGTGTGTAAGTATGTGTGACATCTCAAAGGGAACTTGTTATAGGCTTTTGTTGCATTTATTTTTGTTTAGTACAACCAAGGTGGTGTACTTTATTTATAGACATATTTTAGCAAAAAGCATTATACTGTATACTCTTTAAATGTGCCTCAATGGCACAACTTTCCTTTCTTTTGCAGGCCAGAGAAGAATAAACATACTTAAAAAAATTTAAAATCTGACCATATTTCAAGTACAGGAGCAGGTTTAAGGTATACATTTAAATATGTCTAAATCAAATTGCCAAACATTTTTTTTTATTTCTCTGGTTAATTACCGAGATTAGGTACATCAGTATCTTTACATTATCCCCTTAAATTGCATAGTTCCCTGCAAATAGGTTGCAGGTTTCCTTGATCCTTACCAGGACTAAGTCATTTTCTGCTAATCACTTAATCCTGATAATAGATGAAAGGAAATAGCAACCTTTGCACTTGAAATATTACCATGTTAAACAGCAAGAACCAGCTAATTAAAAACATAAAAAGTTACAAATAAAGAAATGAAATTCAACACATCTACCTGGTTTGGTTGCAAATAGCTAATAGATTCAAGAATTGCAGGAGTCAACTTCAACATGGCAGAAATGCTCACAGTTGTGGAAAATGAAAGCATATGTACTGTAACATCAATTCAACTTCAAAACTCTACAGCTTTTTATTTTTTGAAAAGTATCCAAGAATCATAGGTTAATCAATGACAGAACTTTAAATTCTTAATATTTTTATGCAGAGCCATTAAGGATCGTTGTAGTTCGCTTGAGAAGTTTGCATTTGATTGTTCATCAGCCTGACAATGATGTATCTTGGATGAATGACGTCTCATCAGTGTAGAATTTCCTATTTCGTTGTGCGCCAAGCCATTACTAGTGAGCTTTTTAGATTTCACAATAGGCAAAGCATAAGCAAAATAATTTGATCATTATTAACACTGCCTTGGGCCTTTTTCCTGGCTTTAAAATACACAGCATATTTTCATATGGAAAACAAAATACTCTTGTGCCAGAATGCAAGATGTTATAGAATTTGATAATACCGTTTTCTTCAGTTTTGCAAACAACCATTTCTGGCTTTTGAGACCAGAAGATATTGAGGATTATTTTGATCTGAAACAAGGTGAATTCATACCAATGACTGTGTTCAACTGACTATATCTGCAGAAACTCTTCAAACTACACTACTGTATATTTGTTTTATAGTACATGTGCAAACCAATTTTTGAAATAATAAAATATAAATAAAAAATTGTGCCTTTTGAAACCACAATAGAAGCAATACCGATTAACTACATTAGTGCACTTCATGAGTAAGGACTCTCCGGAACAATTTAAACAGTGTACACTATTTAGTTCTCATTTTTGCCCAGTAAAGAATCTGTGAACTATAAAGTATGTATGTATTCTACAGGGAAATTAATTTCAACACAGCAAGGCTAATTAAGCAATTAAAACAAATTAGTGATATATACTCACTGAATCTACCTTTTGGTTTGTAGAAACCATCCCTTTAAACTTCATTCTAATTGCAAAATGCCATGTATTATTGAATCCACTTGTAGGATTATATCTATACAACTAGATAAGAGGGATCTAGAACCCCAGAGAAAGGAGAATGATTGGTTTATTCTACACATTCCTTTTTTCAGTTTAAAACCATCACCCTAAACTTTTCTTTTACTGAAAAATATGAGTTTTGAACAATATTTTAATCCATGAAGAAACTATTGACACTGTTAATTTGAGCTCTAGCATCACCAATCTCAGATGCTTCTCAGAAACTCAGATCACAGTTTAAAGTGAGTTTAAAGTTAAAAAGACAAAGTGAGTTTTTTTATCTTATACATGTGATTACAAATGCTGCCTGTTCAAATCCAAACCTGCTCATGCCTCACACCAACCCAGTTGGGAAACATTGCAATATATTAACATGCCTGACCTTGTAATGTCATCAATTTGTTATATCCAGGTTGCTCATTCTCACTTGTCTAAGTTAGATTGTACACTTTAATTAAAATGCAGGTGTATCCTTACAGGTGTAAGCAGTCCTTCTCTCTAAGAAGCAGGATTTTAAAATAGGATATCCAAATTTGTTTCTGTACTCAGAACAGAAATAAGAAGATTATTTTTTTCTGAATGTCTCCTTTATCAATATCATATTTTGGGATTTAATTAAAG